CTATCATTGTTTAGCTTGGGGTTATTGTTGAACTCTAGAAAATGGGAGTGAATGTGTCTAAATAGTTTACTTGTTCATGGAACCTTTGTTCATTACTGTGTTGCCTCATCCAGCATTAATATGGGGGTTTATGCCTAAGCTTGCTGCAGCTTGCAATGTTTGGTTGATATCACTGGTGGCCTTCTCTTTTCTGAAAAGAAAAGGATGAGCAATGAATACACAGGATAGGGGAGGTGGAGGAGACTGGGAGAAGAGGAGGGAGAGGAAGCTGTTTGGGGAATGTATTGTATGAGAGAACAAAGTTTTAAAAACATTAGTGCCCAAAACAAAGCAGAATTATCATGTAACCTTAACCCTAACCTGAAAAGAGTGACAATAACAACTAATCAAGTGAAGATCCACAAGACAAAATAGTATGCCTGGACCTGTTAATGACTGTATGCCATTTAGTTCATGATGATACTAAAATGCTAAAAATAATATAATACTAAAGAAAAAACTTGTTAAGGTAAATATATTGTGGAAATAGAGAATGTAAGATCATATGTACAAGACCAGATTCACATTAGATCATAAGTTCCACAGACCTTAAGGGGATTGTTTGGCCCATCTCTATATTTATAACAGGATTCAACCTCAAACTAAGTTGGATTTCTTGAAAAATATAGTTAGATATATTAAACTAATGAAGAAAATCTAAATGTAAAATTATAGACTAATGACACATCTTGTCAACATAGTATAGTGAAGCTAATACTATATTTCTCATCAATATGCCAGGGTATCACACACCTAACTGCCCTGTAATACACCAAGTTATGAGTCTATTCATGTGTTTATTCAATTCATCAGAATTATTTATGTAAAAGAAATGAATGGACTTCCAAAGATACAGTGAACTCCTAGAGTATCAGGGTCTCATCGGGACTGTCTGTATCCTCTTTCTCTGTGGCCTAGTAAGACCACCTCATCAGGGGATGTTTATCAAAGAGAAGACAACTGAGTTCATGCCAGAGACTGCCCTTGCTCCCCTTACTAGGAAATGTAACTCTTTATGTGCCTCTCTGTTACTCATGGAACTAAAAAATCTCCAACACTTATCTTTGCTTACTGCATGTCTACATAAAACCACATTTTGCATTAGATCACAAGAGCCCCTCACACTTGATGTCTGAGTCATCAAACTTTTAAGTGAGACTTGCAGTGATGTGCATTTAAGGCCCTGTCTTTATCCAGCCTCTAACAACTTTCATATGTTTATAGTAGGAATAAAGTGATCTAAATCAGGTCAGGTAGCAAAGGTGGAGAATTGCACCAAAACTGATTTGCAATCACCTCCAGATTCTTTTTTATTAACTCTGTTGAACCAATTCAAAACGAGGCAAAATACTTGCAAAAAATACAAAATGAAAAATAATTCACTGTAATTCCCAGTATGCGTTACATTCTACAAAAAGCTGCATGTGGAGGAACAGAATAACTCTGGCTTATTGTCAAGGAATTTGCAGATCATTTTCCAGAGTTAACCATGGGGGATGGTGCACAAAGTTTCTCAGAAAGTAAATATTTAACAGACCAGATTACCAAAAAAAAGTATATCACCAGGTATTTTTTTGTTACTCTAGGAAACAGTTCACTCCCTAATGCCAACAACCTACAGATTCCAGTTCTATGACTCTGGTCTGAAGTAAGCAAGGAACGGCACATTAGGAAGAACTGAACATCAACCCTACATAGTGTGTTTCTGTGAAGCAGAACTTTGTTTAAAGGTTTATACTTACCTAGGTATAAGTATTTCTGCTTCCTGTTGGAGACAGTTATTCAGCCTCTATGGCCTTTCAGGATCTCCTGAATCTGGTCGGAGGCATGGGGAGATTTCAAATCCTTCAGATGGCTTTCTTTCTGATCTGCAATATGATGGTGTCACCTCATTTACTATTGGAAAACTTCACTGCAGTGATCCCTGGTCATCGATGCTGGGTCTCCATCCTAGACAGTGGCAATGTCTCTGACAATGACAGCGGGATCCTGAGCCAAGATGACCTCCTGAGAATCTCCATTCCCTTGGACTCCAACCTGAGGCCAGAGAAGTGTCGTCGCTTTGTTCAACCACAGTGGCATCTCCTACATTTTAATGGCACCTTCTTCAATGTGACAGAGCCAGATACAGAGCCCTGTAAGGATGGCTGGGTGTATGACCAAAGCACTTTTCTCTCCACCACTGTGACTGAGGTAAGTGGCTTCAATATAATACCAACCCGTCAGTGAACTGATGACAACAACTCAGCAATAGTTCAAATAGTATATATGCTTTGAGCTTAGTTATTGTCTTATTAAGTGCAAGAGTATTGTTCAATGATTTTAGTGACTTCAAACATAAATAAAAATGTACTTGTCTTGTACTTTCATTTAAGGGATGACCTCAGATTAAAAATCAGTTTTCATAGAAGGAAATTTAACAAGACAATTTAGCAAGATAAGAACAGTAGATTTCATCCGAGGGCCTATCTCCTCCCAAGCCTTGGGCTTCTAAGTAGATTTTCAATTATCAGGTTGACTTTCTTCTTCGGAAGCAAGCTTCATATCAAACCAGAAATGTTTGGTTTTCCTATAGCAGTTATGTCACTATTGCACCAATAGCCATGTTGTCTTGCAGGTTGGTATTGTAATATAAGGGGATAAGTTCTGGATAAGAACATTGATGTCTTTACTTTACCAGCATTCTACACAGCAACATCTGGCACTATGAAAGGTAGCTAAGAAGGAGAAAGATTGTAGTTTGTTTTTGCAGTGATATCTATGTCCTGAAAAAAGATTGTGTGGTGTCTTCCACAGTAGGAGCTTAACATTTACTGAGAGTAGGTGAATAACAGCAATACTTTCAAAATGTGTTGTTTGGAAGAACTGTGGAGTATCCCTAACCAAATACAAAGTTATTATATATGACTGGCATGACCACTTAACACCCCAGATCTTCTGCAAGCAGCTATGTTCACCCAAATATTATACGTTTCAAATTTTTCCTTTAAAATTATAGTATGAAATTTTCTTACTCAACAGTAAGAATCTCCTTGAGGCTTTATATAAATCTTTCATGGAGATGCTTGAGTGAGAAATTAATTGAAGTGACAAAATAGAAGAACATATCTTTGATAGAGTTTTATTGTTCTGATGACACACAAAAACCCTGAGCCTAAGCTTCTATACCATGTTTCCTCAGTGACCAAGACCATACAACACACAACATACTGAAAAACCAAAAAACATTTATCCCACTTTTTGGAAATGGGGCATCATATTCTTAAATGTCTTCCTGCTGGCCAGAGGAAATATTTCTTTTGGGGGCCTCCTGTTGATTATTAATATTTACTATTTACGTGTCATTTAGTTAAGCAGCAGTGGTTCTTAAAGTAGCTGTATACCCAAATCACCACACGGAGACTAGGATTTATTTAATTAACCTAGAGCACAATGCTGGGCAATAATTACTCAGTCCTAAACATCCATCCCGCATAGCTTCCTCCTATTCAAATTTCCCATATTAAACTTGCTTTTAGTCATTTCTTAAATCTGGGTTAATCTCTCCTGGCGGTTTTGGGTCCTCTCCTCTGAGATCTCTGTCCTCTTACTCTCCTCCCACTCATTTCTTTCTCCTTCCCTTAGGACCAGGATGTCCCACCCTATTCTCTCCATTACTCAGCATTTGGCTTGTTCTTTTGTTGACAATACAGAGAACAAATGGTGGCATGTTTATACAAACTTGAGACAGGTGATGCTTATTCAGTCAATGTGAGGATTGAAACCACATAGTGGGGTAGAGAAATCACCATTTGAATGAACAAGTATAAATTGTATTCATTGCCCAAGAATATTATCCAACATTTCCCCAATTTAAGTCCAACAAAGCCTCCTTTTCTTTCAATACAATAATAATTATAAAACGGTTATGAAAACTATTTTTTTGTTTTTCTTTCTTTTCTTTTACGTTTTTAAATTTTTTTATTAATTACACTTTATTCATTTTGTATCCCCCCATAAGCCCCTCCCTCCACCCCTCCCAATCCCACCCTCCCTCCCCTTTCTGCATGCATGCCCCTCCCCAAGTCCACTGATAGGGGAGGTCATCCTCTCCTACTTTCTGATCTTAGTCTTTCAGTTCTCATCAAAAGTGGCTGCATTGTCCTGTACTGTGGCCTGGTAAGGCTGCTCCCCCCTCAGGGGGAGGTGATCAACAAGCAGGCCAATCAGATTATGTCAGAGGCATTCCCTCTTCCCATTACTATGTAACCCACTTGGACACTGAACGGCCATGGGCTACATCTGTGCAGGGGTTCTAGGTTATCTCCACGAATAGTCCTTGGTTGGAGTATGAGTCTCTGGGAAGTTCCCTGTGTTCAAATTATCTTGTTCTGTTACTCTGCTTGTGAAGTTCCCGTCCCCTCCAGGTCTTACTATTTCCCACTTCTTACATTAAATTCCATTCACTCTGCCCATCAGTTGTCCATCAGGCTCAGCATCTGCTTTGACAGTCTATACTGCAGAGGCTTTCAGAGGCCCTCTGTGGCAGGTTCCAAGGTTGTTTGCTGTTTTCTTCTGGCTTTCAGAGGCCTTCTGTAGCAGGTTCCAGGGTTATTTCCTATTTTCTTTTTCTTCTGATGTCCATCCTCTTTGCCTTTCAGGATGGGGAGTGAACATTTTAGTTAGGGTCCTCTCTTTTGCTTAGTTTGTTTAGATGTACAGATTTTAGTGGGTTGATTCTATGTTGTATGTTTATATGAGTGAGTATATACCATGCGTGTCTTTTTGCTTCTGGGACAACTCACTCAGGATGATCCTTTCCAGGTCCCACCATTTACCTGCCAATTTCATGATTTCCTTATTTTTCATTGCTGGGTAATACTCCATTGTATAGAGGTACCACAGTTTTTGCATCCATTCTTCAGTTGAGGGGCATCTGGGTTGTTTCCAGCTTCTGGCTATTACAAATAAAGCTGCTACAAACATGGTTGAGCAAATATCCTTTTTGTGTACTTGAGCCTCTTTTGGATATATGCCTAGGAGTGGTATCTTGAGGAAGCGCTATTCCTAGTTGTCTGAGAAAGCGCCAGATTGATTTCCAGAGTGGTTGTACCACTTTACATTCCCACCAGCAGTGGAGAAGGGTTCCCCTTTCTCCACAACCTCTCCAGCATGTGTTGTCCCTTGAGTTTTTCATCTTGGCCATTCTGATGGGTGTAAGGTGAAATCTCAGGGTTGTTTTGATTTGCATTTTTCTAATGGCTAATGATGTTGAGCATATCTTTAAGTGCTTCTCTGCCATTCGATATTCCTCTACAGAGAATTCTCTCTTTAGCTCTGTTCCCCATTTTTTAAGTCGATTACTTGGTTTGTTGCTTTTCAGCTTGTTTAGTTCTTTATATATATTGGATATGAGTCCTCTGTCAGATAAAGGGTTGGTGATGATTCTTTCCTAATCTGTAGGCAGTCGCTTTGTTTTGATGACGGTGTCCTTCGCATTACAGAAGCTTTTCAATTTCACGAGGTCCCATTTATTGATTGTTGCTCTTAGAGCCTGTGCTGTTGGTGTTCTGTTCAGGAAGTTTTCTCCTGTACCAATGAGTTCTAGGGTATTCCCCACTTTTTTTCTAGCCAACTTAATGTGTCTGGTTTTATGTTGAGGTCTTTGATCCACTTGGACTTCAGTTTTGTGCAGGGTGATAAGTATGGATCTATTTTCATTTTTCTACATGTAGACATCCAGTTGGACCAACACCATTTGTTGAAGATGCTATCTTTTTTCCATTGTATGGTTTTGGCATCTTTGTCAAAAATCAGGTGTCCGTAAGTGTGTGGGTTTATTTCTGGGTCTTCTGTTCGATTCCATTGATCCACCATTCTGTTTCTATGCCAGTACCATGCAGTTTTTATAAGTGTTCCTCTATAGAAGAGCTTGAGATCAGGGATGGAGATACCTCCAGAAGAGCTTTTATTGTAGAGGATTGTTTTAGCAATTCTCGGTTTCTTCTTATTCCATATGAAGTTGAGAATTTTTCTTTCCAGGTCTGTAAAGAATTGTGTTGGCAATTTGATGAGAATTGCATTAAATCTGTAGATTGCTTTTGGTAAGATGGCCATTTTTACTATGTTAATCCTGCCAAGCCATGAGCATGGGAGATCTTTCCATCTTCTCATATCTTCCTCTAATTCTTTCTTCAGAGACTTGAAATTTTTTTCATACAAGTCCTCGACTTCCTTGGTTAGGGTTATACCAAGGTACTTTATGTCATTTGTGGCTATTGTGAAGGGTGTTGTTTCTCTAATTTCTTTCTCAGCCCTTTTGTCTTTTGTATACAGGACTGCTACTGATTTTTTGAGTTAATTTTGTATCTGGCCACTTTGCTGAAGGTGGTTATCAGCTGTAGGAGTTCCCTGGTAGAGTTTTGGGGGTCACTCATGTATACTATCATATCATCTGCAAATAGTGATAATTTGACTTCTCCCTTTCCCATCTGTATCCCTTTGATCTCATTCAACTGTCTTATTGCTCTAGCAAGGACTTCCAGCACTATGTTGAAGAGATATGGAGAGAGTGGACAGCCTTGTTTTGTCCCTGATATCAGTGGGATTGCTTTAAGTTTCTCTCCGTTCAGTTTGATGTTGGCTATAGGCTTGCTGTATATCGCTTTTACTATGTTTAGATATGTGCCTTGTATCCCTGATCTCTCCCGTACTTTAAACATGAATGGATGTTGGATTTTGTCAAATGCTTTTTCAGCATCTAGGGAGATTATCATGTGGTTTTTTTTCTTTCAGTTTGTTAATATGGTGCATCACATTGATGGATTTCTGTATATTGAACCACCCCTGCATATCTGAGATGAAGACTACTTGGTCATAGTGGATAATATCTTTGATGTGTTCTTGGATTCGGTTTGCAAGTATTTTGTTAAGTATTTTTGCATCAATGTTCATAAGGGAGATTGGCCTGAAATTCTCTTTCTTTGTTGGGTCTTTGTGAGGTTTAGGTACCAAGGTGACTGTGGCTTCATAGAATGAGTTTGGTAATGTTCCTTCTGTTTCTATTTTGTGGAATAGTTTGAAGAGAATTGGAGTTAACTCTTCTTTGAAGGTCTGGTAGAATTCTGGGCTGAAGAGATCTGGTCCTGGGCTTTTTTTTGGATGGGAGACTTTTGATGACTGCTTCTATTTCTTTGGGGGATATAGGACTATTT